CTTGAAAATGAGAGACAAGTTGTTTGGGAAGCAAAAGGAGCTGAATGATGCAGTTGAAAATGTAGGAATAATCTCAATCTTATGCTTCTCATGGGCCACTTTTCTCCTTGTGATGTTTTGTTTCTTTGCCTCTTTTTCATCTATCATTCCTCTCTTCCAGTACTCATTACCTTCTCCTGCACTGATCCATCCAGGGCTTCAGCTAAATCCACCTTTCTTGTTTGGCTCTGTCCTCTCCCCTGCCAGGAAAAATGCCTCAGAATGAAATTGGCAAAATCTTTTGACAGCTTGTCTTTACTACCACTGCTGCCAAAAAAAGTGAAAATGATTATTTATATGGTTCATTTCCACAAGCTGCTCTTAAATTATGGTCCAAGTGTCTTTTAAAACAATAATTAATATTTCATGATTGACCACCTGGCCAACCATGCTAGCCTAATCCAATCTGTAAGGGAATGGGATTCCCCTAGAAATATGCCGGGTTCAACACAGCCTGCATCTGTGTATCCTGAAGTAGGTTTTATTGCATTTTGTTGACAACATTCAGAGAGTTTTAGACTATTATTAAACTGAACCATCCAACACTGTTATTTTTGTGTAAAAAATCAAATATCAGTAATAGCATATAGTTGAACTTAACAGATAATAAGTATTTGTTGATTAGAATTGAATACACTTATAGAAATCATTCTATCAAGCATTTGAAGTGCAGAAATACAATAAATTAAAACACTATACAACAAACCAATTAATTCAAAGAAAGTCTCAACATTGCAAGTGCCAATAAGGAGGCAAATAGGAGCTGATTAACAAGCTATAAAGTCCTCCATGATTGCAATGATTTTGCCATGATTTGAGCCTTCGCTTTCTGCACCAAAATAACAATAATGACAACAGCACTGATTAATATTACTTAGTACTTATTACTGGCATTGATGCTAAATGTTTGATGTGCACTTTGCATGTAATCCCTTCCACAAATCTATTAGAGTAACTATCTCCATCTTACAGAAGAAAAAGAATAAAAATTCTTTTTATCTTTGAGAAAATAGTCCCATTTCTTAGAGACACGTTAAATTGAAAAAATCTTAACAATATCCTCAATGTTAATTGAATAACTGTAACAAGCCTTTTATAAGAATATTCTTTTAAAATGGGTGTGGTGCACATGCCTGTAATCCCAGCACTCAGGAGGTTGAGGCAGGAGGATTGTTGCGAGTTCAAGACCAGCCTGGGCTACAAAGTGAGCTCAAGACCATCCTGAACTGCATAGTGAGACTTTGTATAAAAAAAAAACCAAGAAAGAAAGAAAAAGAAAATTTAAAAAAAAGAGAAAAGAATATTCTTTTAATATCTCTTGGCCTTGAACAAAGATTTTCAGGCATGGGAGTGGATATTTTATAGCTAAGAGCTGCCACCAGGTGGAGCAAAGTCACAGAAAATTGGGTGTGAAAATCTAAATCTTGGTCTTCTCCCATATGTGGGTTACTCTGGCTTCCTGGGTTGTAAGTCACAGACATTCTCTGTGTCTACATTTGTAAAGTAAGGTAGGCTCTAAGACAAGGGAAAGATAAAGAGAACTTGAAAAAATATGAAACGAATAAGTCACTTTCTAATTCCACTGATAGCTGGATCAGAAAAGGGATCTTCCAACAACAACAACAGAACACCTAATTACCAAAACACCTAAGTAAAAACACTTTTTACTCTATGTGAACCTGCTGCACAGTTTAAAGGAATCATGAATCCACAGGAAGCAGAATGGAAGACTAAACAAAGCTCTTAGTTGGAAGGCAGCTGTGAACTGGAAATCTGGCCTTGTCAGGCCTTCTGACATTCCCTGAACTTTCTCAGGCTTCAGACTCTCATCTGTAAAATGAGAACAATAATGTGCACTTTGTAGTGTTCCTGTGAGAATGCATGGAAATTCTCACCTTAGTGGGTAAATGGCCAATCTTCAATAAGAATGAAATGTTGGTCTTCTAATATTAATGCATTAATATTCAACATGTTTTATCGACCATTTATTGGACATTAAGATATTTAGGAATTTATATTTGATTTTAAATTTCTTTCTATTAAAGATGATTAAAATTGAGATTATAGCAATACAAATAACCAACATTTATTTACATGATGTGTGCTATAGATTGTAAGCATTTTTTTTTTTGAAATACTGTCTCTCTGTTACTTGGGTTAGTCTTCTTAGTCTTCCTCATAGCTGGAAACAAAAGCCTCAACTATGTGACTGGCTTTAAGCACTTTTAAAAAATCATCTCAGTACGTGCTTATCCCACTCCCAGTAGCTAAGACCTAATCCGTTTAACAGATGAGAAGACTGAGTAGTGAAGCTTGGATGCACAGCTGGATACCCTGTTTCTGGGCTTTTTTGCATGACACTGGCTTAGCTATAGACCCCACCAAATAATTCATTTCTAGGGGCTGCAAACTCTGCTTTCACACTGCACTTCCCAGGTACAAACAGAAAATAAACTCCAGTGACTCCACGGATGATAGGAATTCACATTTAGATTTGAATAAATCGCATTTAGATTTGACTGCAGTTACCACCTAAGTGGACTGGCTGCCTCCGGTCCCTCTCCTCCTGGCCAGCCCACCCTTTCACACTGCCAACTGTTATCTTTATACAACACAAATCTGATGATGACACTTCTCTACTTAAAAAGGCTCCCTGTTGTCTGTAGAACTCTGGCCAAGTGCTCAGCATGGCACAGGAGGTCTCTCCCAGCTGGGCCTGACCTTCCATTCCGTCTTGGCTTTGGACACCAGGCTCTTCACTGAAGCTCTTATGTAACACAACGCTGCACGCAATCAGGGGAGCCCAGGGTGCAGCAATCTAAACTCCAGAGTTGTAAAAGTGAAAAAACTTTTTAAAATGCTTGGAGTTTCCTCCCTTACATTCTATTCTGTTGGTATAAAATAAAAAGACTTGCTAAAAATGGAAGCTTTAAAAGATTTGCAATTAAAAACTGCCCACATACTAGCAGTTGGTAAATTATATAATATGTAATTATATATAATACATGTACATGTCATTTTTCACCTCTCAGAACTGGTATTTGGGTGGAACATATCGGTAACCAAATCTATAGTTTCCCAGGTAAAATGGTTCTTTGCCCTGGAAAGCATTCCTTTTCCTCCCTAAGGAAGTGAACTACTTTCTCTTCATCCTTCATATTTTGGCACTGGGTGTATAGTCAGTATAGAAGCACTCACTAGCATTCACAAGGTCTTGGGTTTGATTTCCAGGACTAAAAACAAACTCACTTAAACCCTGTTCAGGTTCCACTCTGGAGAATCCTTACTCCCCAGCCTCTTGCGCAGGCCGATTTTCCTTGACCAGATCTCTTAAAGCTCTGTACTTAGTTATAAGAGATTCTCTCAGATAGCATTATCACACTGCTTGGAATTATTTATTTATATGTTAGATATATTTGTACAACATTCGATTATACCTTAGAGCTGGTCTCTCATCTCTGAAACCCTAGCTCTTAGCTTGGTGTACAGTGCACATTAAGAATTCCAGCGTTCATCACTGAATGTATAAGTGAATGATCAAAGTCTCAAAGAACTCCCTTTGGATCTCTCTAAACATGCTGATACCAGACACGCCTTTGGACACATCACTGTTATAAATTAGGACCATACTATTTGCCAAGTAATCTGGAAGGTGCTGAGAAAAGTCCTAAGCGGTAAACATCTGCTTAAAAAGGCTACCAACATCCTAGGTATGACTTGCTCCTACCCCACGCCTTTCCCACCATCCTACTAGTTGGTACTTCTAGGGTGGTGAGGATAGTGTTCAAGATGGGTGATTTTCTCCACCTTGACTGAAGAGCTTCGCCTTCCTTGATTTTCAAGAGCCAAGTCAGCCACAATTCCCTATTCAATTTTCCTACCGGTGTAACATCTTGAAGTTCTAGCCCTTTCTATTGCAGGGACACTCTACTCCGGACTTCCCCACTGGATTCAGTGAAGAGGCTGAGTGCGGTCTCCGCAGGAAGGGGCTTTCCAGCCGCCGAGCCGTGGGACTGAGCCCCGCGGACCGAGGCGCAGGGACACCGCCCACGGCCGCCCGGGCGGCTACGGTTGGCCACGAGAGGTGCCTATCTTTCCGGGCAAGCCCAGCGCTTCCTCGCCGCGCAGAGAAGGGGCGAGGGCGGAGGAGGGCAGGGACCCAGCGTCCGGCCCTCCCGCGAGCCCGGCCCCGCCTCGCCGACCCCTGGCGGCCCCCGGCACGGACTGTGCGCGCGCCCTCAACTTCGTGGCCGCCGGGGGCGCGGCTCTCCCGGCTCGTGTGCGAGTGTGCGTGCCAGCGGCGGCCTCCGGGGGGCAGCAGCAGAAAAGGGGACCCGGAGAGGGAGGTATCCTGGGCGTACTGTGGCCGCCGAGGCACAGGACCCTCGCCGCGCCGGCTTTGGAGACCTACACCCCGGCGGGGCTGCTGCGCCCAGGGCGCCCTCGAGCATCGCGGCAACCGCCCTCCGTGTGCAGCCGCCGGGACTCGCGTTAGGATCGCAGTTTCTGCCTGTCCGGGAGGGAGCAGCAGTGTTTGCAGGCGGAGGAGCGGCGGCCGCGGCACCAGCATCCCGGTTGGGTGGACCACTGAGCGCGGAGCCAGCGGCTGGAGGCCGGAAGGGAGGGTCGTGGCGCCGAGGCTGAGTGCCTTCCCGGGCGCCCGCGCTCCGCAGCCCGCCCGGCCCCGGCTGCCCGGTGCAGGTCTCGAACAATGGTGCGGAGCGCCGGCGCGAGCCCCGCGTCCGCCCAGCGGGCGTAGAGGAAGTGGCCGGGCTCCGGGTGGGGTGGGCAGGGAGACGCCCCCCGCCACTCGCTCGCGGAGTTTGCGCGTCTGGCTTCTCGGACCTCGGACCCAGCTCCGGATCACCGACGGCTGCTCACTCTGGAGAGTATGGTGCCGGCGCCCGGGTTAGTCTAGTTCTCCGTGCGCTCCTGTTCCTCGTCTCCTTCCTCCTGTCCCTCCTGCCGGGGTCGCCTCTGGGTTCTCGGCGGCGTGTGGGAGTACAACTCTGCTTCTCCAAGGAGACCGGCTTGTAGCCACCGAACTGAATTTGCCCATTGAAAGCGAACCCAGAACAGCCGGATAATGTCCACTCCGAGCAGATTCAAAAAGGACAAAGAGATCATAGCCGAGTATGAAAGTCAAGTCAAAGGTAAGGATGGGAGCGGCTGCCTGGCTCCTTTTGTGTGGCTCCTTGTCATTGTGCTCTCGGAGTTGCGTTTCTAACTTGGTGTCTGCGTTGGAGGAAGGTAGTGAGGGACAGCTCGAGCCCTGGCCGAGCCAGCTTGCAAGCCTGTCCCAGTTCCGACCCTCGTCCCGTCAAACCCACCGGGACCTGGACGCTGGGTGGTTTCCTCCGGCTGCCTGCCCGCACCTCCAACCGGGAGAGCACTGGCTTGAACTTACCCACCTTCTGCGGGCTGTTTACACGGGGAGGCCGGCAGCGCTCGTGGTTCCTGCTCAGTTACCATCCTCATCGTCATTCTTTTTACGTGAAATCATTGTCACAGCATAATTTTTCTTTGGAGTCGTTTTGTAAAATCTGAACGCCAAGTGGTCCAGAGCTTCATTGAGTGAAGGCTATTTCAGACATTTAAACTCTTCACTATTTAATTTATTAGGGCGAGTTCCTCTTTTATAAAACAGCTCCCTAAAAAGCCAGGCAGTTTGACCCAGCAGTGACTAGTGGAATCTGACTCCTCCTTTATAATAGGCTAGAATTCAGTGCCATCTTTTACACTCACATCAGAATATTGCTTTATCATTTTCTGGAAACCACTGGCATGTAAAATGAAGGTTTGGCTATTTTAGTAGTTTCAGTCCATTTCCATTGTCAGCCAATGAAGGAAACCTAATTAAAACTGATAAAGCATTTTTACTTTCTGTGCCTTGTGGTTTGAAAAATGTATTTTCTCTCCAGTATAATTTTGCTGAAGTGGTTATATATACATAATATATATGCATATATAACACATGTGCATATATATGCTGTTTTTTCCCCTCTTGTGTGGTCTCTGAATTAGCTTTTCTGATGGAGACAATGGGTGGAGTGTTGAGATCACTGGTGTTCTTTGGTGTATTCAATGCAAAGTTCAAAAAGATTGTTATGTCCACACCTGTGTTTGCCTGTATACAAGTCTTATGAAAAGGCTGCTGAGAAAGGCATTACAGTGCTTGCCTTGGGAGAGGCAGGAACTGCCTGAGCTGCTTTTGTGTGGTCAAGTTGTGAAAATGCCTGGGGTCCTGGAAGAGGCGTGGAGGGGGGAGGGGTGCCCCATCACCTGTGTGTGTGAATGTTGACCAGCTCTGGCCATACCAGAGACTTGGATTTCCTTTAGCTTGTCCGGTACAGTGAGGGTAAGCTAAATGTCATTCAGGAAACACACATAATTTCTGCCAGTAATTAGGGTAATTAATTTTAAAAGAAAAAAAGATAATTTATAGTTACAGGAACTTGTTATATTGATATAGAAGTTATATTAGGAAGGAGTAATTATTTCCTTAGAGCCAGATGAACTTTCTGTTGAGGGTAGCTTTTCTTTTCTCAGTCCCATGCAGCCTAAAACCTTTCATTCTAAGGAGATACTCTTGTTCACAATCACCATTTCCACATGGTTCTTTGTGGCAGGTCTTTGAGGGGTGGAGGTCTGGTTTTCTTGCTTTCTGGAGTGCTGATTGGCAGAATCCACTTTGTAGTGCTAGTTGTTATCTCTGCTCTAAGATCATTTTCCTATTAATGAGACTTTATGTGAAAAATGTTTTTAATCAATTTTTTCTAGTGTATGTGTTCTACAGATAAGAGATTATTTGTATATCTGAGGATATAAGGATTCTCCATTGAGTCAAATCAATTAAATGGGATCTGTTACAATGTTTTCATTAAATCTAATTCAAGGTAAAATTATGAATATGGTGAAAATTGTTTCTGAAATTAACTCTTTCCTACAGAAAGTAACCTTTGCCCTCCTCCTTTGCACACACCCAGGAGTTCTTAGGCTGCTTTTGGTCTCCTCCCTGTATCTGCCCTGCCCTGTGGCCAGATGTTGCCTTGACCTTGTGGGCCACTTCCATATCTGGGGGCCAACCTCCATCTTTACATCCCTATGCAACCAAGGGAATAGGGTGAGTGAATGGAGTTGAACTACACATGCTAATTTGCAGAAATTCACCTGTGTCCCTAGACATATCTGAGACAGTGAACAGTAGTGCTGGAGACCAGCTGTGTGATGTGGCCCCTTAGTGAAGATAGCATGGGAGCTAAGACTAGTTTTTTCTTTCATTTCCAGAAAGCCTCTTTAGGGTGAACATCTTACCTCTGCAGACCACAGTCCAGAATCTATAAAGATTTGGGGAGGAATGGGGGGGGGGTGAACCAATCTTTAATTCTAGGCAGCTACTGCACTGGACAATGAACAATAGGAACTGGTCTGTTTGTTCCTGAAGTAAAACTTTGCTGTGTTAGACTCATTAACATATAGGTCTGTTCCCGGTGAAAAACATTACATTTCTTGGATTCCAGTTGGCTTAGGCTTATAGGTAATTCAGGTCATTTTGATTATGTATATGTCATTTTTTCACCTTTTAACTTAAAATCTAATACTCTGGGCTGTTGTCCTTTCTTACTTTTTCATTTTCCTGATAACAATTATGTTTATCTCAGAGTTTCTGAAATAATATTATAATTTTTTCAATCTAAAAAAATGACTTGGTTTTGAGATTTTATCAGTACCTGCAAAGATTTTTGGGAACAGACTTAATGGGGCTGTCCTCAACTGTGTAAAGAACCATCCCTGGTGATGATGTGTAATTTCTGTTATCTAGTTACATGCATCATTGTGGGCAAGTCACTTATCTTCACTGTGCATTTTGGTTTTCTTTTCTATAAGATGAAAAACTTGGATTCTCTCTGTCCTAAGGGTCTTTGAATCTAATTGAAGATGTCATGTGAATTCATATTAATTGCTTCATAACATATTCAAGCATTTCACATTTTTCTCTTGGCAGCTCTATTTGGGGGATAATAATCTTTGCTTGTAGTTTGCCCAAAATCAATTGAGTTTTGCGGAAATTAAAATTATGAAACAATGAATATAGAAAACTACTAATCAAAGCCATGCTCGAATAAGTATAGCACAGTCATAAGAGGGAAACATAAGAATTTCACAAGTCATTAAAGAAGGGGTAAGTTTAAGTCTGAGACAAAAGGACTTAAAGCCATAATTTCAAAAAAATGTGTTAACTTGGAGTACAGAGACTATTTCATACATGTTGGACAGCTTCCCAAAGACACAAAATTGGGAGACATACATCTCATTTGTGTGGACGCTTTAAAAAGCATACTTGTCTGAAACAGTGTATGAAACTCAAACCAGTTGACTGCAGCTTGGAAGCATCCACTGCTGAGGCATGGAAGAGACTGGTTGACAGATCTGTAATTTATGTAATTTATGTAATCTGCAGCAGAAATATTATGGAATTACACATATGGAAACCAAAAGAATTAAAAATTTTTTAATATTTGAACTCACTTTTTATTTCCATCGATTGATTGTGGTCCTGGGGGTGGAATCCGTTTCCCTGAGAGAATCCATAGGTAAGTGCTCTATCAGCTACACTCCAAGCCTAAAAGACATTCTAGAGGTAGAGCTCACAGGTGAGACATTGTGTTCATTGTTAATAATGCATGTTCTTAGTTGCTAAGAATTGATGACTGTTATTTACAGTGTTTTCCTGGTGACAGGCTCATATTCCTCTTCATGCAGTATATACACAAATGCCAAGAAAATACTTTCTTTGATCACTGTACTTCTTGAAATAAAAGAGGACGTTTTGGTAGCAGATGGAGCCTGAAGAAATTCCAGTTAAATTTGAGAGGACCCCTATCGTACCATGGATTTTAATAAAGAAATTAAAGATGCTACAATTGCTGTTATGGAAACCATATTTACTTTTATTGTTTTCATTTAATGCAAAATGGAAAAGGTTACTGATTTAAATTATAAACCAGAACTTTATAGCTGGGAGGTGCTTTAAACATTTCTTAGTCAACTCTTTTGCATGACCCACAGAGGCTTAATAACATGTATAATGTAATTGTACAACTAAGTGTAACACCCTTGGGACTAGAACCTGGGGCTTGTGCTTCTTGGTGGTGATTTGCTTTCAGATAGCAGATAGACTATTTAGTCTTTACATTTATTAAAGAAATTATACCAGAGAATAACAGCTTTAGTCTGTGAACAGGAGTTAATTAAATTAAATACAGCTAAATTTTATTTTTTTACCAAGATAGTTTCAGGGGACTGTAATGCCCAAATAGTGCTCTAACTTCATATTGTGGCTTTTAAAGACCAGAAAAACATTATAATAAATATATGTAAATGTAAAACATCTACTTGATGGTTTGTTGAAACTAATTGCACCTACGACAGTGAGTCCCTTTACCTGATTAGTTTTCATAAACTCTAGAGTATATTAAATAATGATTCTGGAAGATTTTTGTTTTGTTTGGGTTTGGGTTTTTTTCAGACAGGCTGGTCTTGAACTCATGGCGATCTTCCTCCTGGAATTACAGGCATGCCCACCATGTCTGGCTCAGTAGCATTTTTGAGCAGAGCTTGTCCTGCAGCACCGTGAGGGGTGGAGTATACATAATACAGGAGGGCAAATCTCAGCCCGATCATCTGGATTGTTTTGCTGACTACTGTGCTATATCTGTGTTGATGGGTTTAGGAGTCAGACATCTTCATTTCTGTTCCAGACTTTAGAGCCGGCTTCATGACTTTGCCCAGATCCTTCTTTCATTTTGCTCATGCTAGGCCAATTTCACTTAACTTCAGACAAGGAAGAATTAAGATAAATGTAAGGAGAATAAATCGTATGTCTCATCAGGCTGCTTTTGTTGTGATAGTTTGAAGGCAGATCTTGGGATTAGAGACAGTTATGTGAAGGTATTTTTATTCCTGAGTTCAGAGTTCCCTTCTGACTTACTGACAGTGTGTCTCAGAATGGGAAGGAAACAGAGCATAGTGTTTAACAGTGGAAACTTCAGTGTTTCTCTGTCTGGCCTGGCCACTAATTAGATGTGTGACCTCTAAGGCTCAATTTCTTCATCTGTAGAATAGAGATAATAATAGTTCTCACCTTGATGTC